AAAAACAAAAACAACAACAAAAAAAAAAAAAAACAAAAACAAACAAACAAAAAACACAACAACAAACAATCAAACCAAAACACAAAAACAAAACAACACAAAACCCACAACAATCAACAAAACAAATCAAAACAAAAAAAAACAACACACACACAACACACAACACCAACAAACAGAAACCAACACAAACAAACACAACACACAAATCACAACCACACAAACCCAAACACACACACAAAAAAACCACACAACAAAAAACAACACAAAAAAAATCAAACAAAAAAAAAAACAAAAAAAAACAACCACACAAAAAACAAAACACAACAACATCAACAAGAAAAAAACAAAAAAAAAATAATTCTTTTTTTTACTTTTAATGTAGCCTAGGCTGATCTTGAACTGCTGGGCTCAAGCAATCCTCCTGCCTCTACCTCCCAAAGTCCTGGGATTACAGGCATACTGGCTGTAAAATATTGCAGATTTAAAAATTAATACAACCTTGAACTGAGACAAAATCGAAGAAAAGGCTTTAGGTAAAATGATCTATCTCGGCCAGGCACGGTGGCTCACGCCTATAATCCTAGCGCTTTGGGAGACTGAGGCAAGTGGATGATGAGGTTAAGAGATCGAGACCATCCTGGTCAACATGGTCAAACCCTGTCTCTACTAAAAATACAAAATTTAGCTGGGCATGGTGGCACGTGCCTGTAATCCCAGCTACTCGGGAGGCTGAGGCAGAAGTGCTTGAAACCCAGGAGGCGGAGGTTGTGGTAAGCTGAGATTGCGCCATTGCACTCCTGCCTGGCTAACAAGAGCAAAACTCCACCTCAAAAAAAAAAAAAAAAAAAAAAAGATCTATCTCCAGGAATTGTTATTTTCCCTTCTAGTTAAGCTCCCAGAATGAACCACCTCTACCAATGACTACAAGGGAAGAATGAATTAGTTCAAAGAGTAGGTGTCTATTTTTTGTCAAACGACAGAAGTAGAAACCAAAAATGCTCATACATTTCCTGTTAGTAAGAGTATTTTGCAAACTGAATACCCTTAACTGGGAAACAGTATTAAAATCCATAAAAGAATAATATTTATTGATTTTTAGAAAACCAATAGCCAGGATGACTGATTTAAAACTTTTCATATTCATGTTTATATCCACTTCAGGGAAAAGGTACTGATTGGTATTGCCGTTTTCTTACATTCTGTTAAAATAACAAAACAAAGTCTGGGTGCAGTGGCTCATGCCTATAATTCCAGCAATGTTGGGAGGCTGAGGCAGTCAGATCACTTGAGGTCAGGAGTCCAAGACCAGCCTGGCCAACATGTTGAAACTCCATCTCTACTACAAATACAAAAAGAAAAACCTGCCAGGCATGGTGGCAGGCATCTGTAATCTCAGCTATTTGGGAGGCTGAGGCAAGAGAATCACTTGAACCCAGAAAGCAGAGGTTGCAGTGAGCTGAGATCACGCCACTGCACTCTAGTCTGAGCAGTAAGAGTGAAACTCCGTCTCAAAAAAACAAAACAAAACCTCTCAAATTCAGTGATTTATAAAATCCTCACAAGACATTTAGTACTGCAGAATAACAGATGCATTCTTCACCCTACCTGATCTACATCGGAGGTAAAGGTTTATCCTATTTTCCCACATATGTTGAATTGTTTTAAAAATGTCTCAGAATGTCTTATGTTCTGTGGTCATTAAATAGACTGAGAGCTTTTCAAAAAATATATGCTCATTGGGCCAGGCACAGTGGCTCATGCCTGTAATCTCAGCACTTTGGGAGGTCTAGGTGGGCCGATCACGGGGTCAGGAGTTCAAGACCAGCCTGACCAATACGGTGAAACCCCGTCTCCACCAAAAAAAATAGTCACAAATCTTCCCTCTCCTTTGAAGACCTTTCCTTAAACCTGTTCCCCTGTCAGGTCACCACCTGCTCTGCCTGTGAGACAGAAATCTTTAATGTAGTGCATGACATTTACTACTCTCCTTCTTCACCACCCATTCTCTGCCTACACCATCACTTCCACTGCCAGCACTGGCAAAACACAGACACATGCACCTTCCCTTTGGAATACTGCTTCTGGTCCTGTTTCTCTACTGAACTTGCTCTCTTCAATGTCACTAATGACATCTTAGGCAGCAAATCCTGTATGGTTTACTTAGTCCTCATTACCCTTTGACTTCTTTATAATATTTTATATTCTTTTTTTTTTTTTGAGTGGAGTCTTGCTCTGTCACCCAGGCTGGAGTGCAGTGGCACGATCATGGCTCACTGCAACCTCCACCTCCTGGGTTCAAGTGATTCTCCCACCTCAGCCTCCCAAGTAACTGGGATTACAAATGTGCGCCACCACACCCAGCTAATTTTTACATTTTTTAGTAGAGACGGCCTTTCGCCATGTTGGCCAGGCTGGTCTCAAACTCCTGCACTCAAATGATCCGCCCACCTAGGCCTCCCAAGTGCTGGGATTACAGACATGAGCCACCACGCCTGGTCTCTCTCCTTCTTGAAATTGGTTTTCCAATAACTCAACAGAAAAATAGGCAAAAAAAAAAAAAATCTATAAGAATATACAACAAACTGGTATCAGGAGTAAATACCTGATAAGGCATTAAGATTAAGGGTGACAAACTAAAAAAAAAAAAAAAAAGATTAAGGATGACAGTTACCACGAAATTTATTTTTATCTGTAATTTTTATCTTTTTTCAAGGATATTACTTGTATAAGATTAATTTTACAGGGCCGGTAGTAGTGGCTCACACCCATAATCCTAACACTTTGGGAGGCCGAGGCAGTTAGACCGCTTGAGACTAGCCTGGCCAACATCTCTACTGAAAAGACAAAAATTAGCCAGGCGTGGTTGGTACACGCCTGTAATTCTAGCCGTCAGGAAGCAGAGGCAAGAGAATCACTTGAACCTGGGAAATGGAGTTTGCAGTGAGTTAAGATTGGGTCACTATATGAGTGACAGAACGAGATCCCATCTCAAAAAAAAAAAGTTATTTTTTTGTCTATTAGATCTCTCTCTCTCTCTCAGACACATATACATGTACGCACAGACACAGCAAGCAAGTATTAACAAAGGTATAAGGAAATTGGTTCTTTCTTTGTTTGTTTGTTTGAGATGGAGTCTTGGTCTGTCACCCAGGCTAGAGCGCAGTGGCACGATCTTGGCTCACTGAAACCTCCACCTCCCGGGTTCAAGCCATTCTCCTGCCTCAGGCTCCCAAGTAGCTGGGATTACAGGCACCCATCAGCACACCTGGCTAATTTTTGTATTTTTAGTAGAGGGGGTTTCACCATCTTGACCAGGCTGGTCTCAAACTCCTGACCTCATGATTCACTCACCTTAGACTCCCAAAGTGCTGGGATTACAGGTGTAAGCCACTGTGCCCAGCCGGAAATTGGTACTTCCATATTACTGAAGAGAACGTGAACTGGCATAGCTTTTTAGGAAGTAATTTGGCAAACTGTCAAAATTTAAATACATACATCCTCTGACTTAGCAATTCTACTTTAAGAATACATCTTATAATAACATTCATTAAATTCATGGATGTTCTCTGTAAATGCTGTGATAGAAAAGAAATAGAAAAGAAATGGAAATGATCTAAATGTCTACCAATGAGGACACCCACCACTCAATATCTACGCAGGAGAACACCATGCAGCCATTTCATGTGCTGACATCAAAAAAGTCATGATACTGTGAGGGGAAAAATACTGGTTTTCCCAATTTTCTGATATTTTCTTCAACTTCCTTTAGTATCTTCTCTTCACTGTCTCATTCTCTAAACACAGCAGTTGACAAAGTGACCCTTGTCTTCCTCTTCTCTTCTGCTTTTATTTGAATTGCTCACCAGCTCACAGAGCGTAACTACCATCTCTCTGCTGATGCTCTTCAAGTCTGTATCTCGAATATCAACTTTTCGCCAAGTTCTAGTACTTCATTTCTAAACTTCTGCTAGAAACGTCTACCTCAGTGAACAACACATACTGCCAACTAAATTAGATACAAACCACAAAAAGATATAAAACTAATCAGACCCCTCACACAAGAAAATGTGGTCAGGTGTGGTGGCCCATACCTGTAACCCCAGCACTTTGGGAAGTCAAGGCGGGAAGACTGCTTAAGCCCAGGAGTTCAAGACCAGCCTGGGCAACATGGCAAAACCCTGTCTCTACATAAAATACAAAAAATCAGCCAGGCACGGTGGCACGTGCCTGTAGTCACAGCTACTCGGGAGGCTGAGGTGAGTGGATCACTTGAGCCTGGGAGGCTGAGCCTGCAGTGAGCCGTGATCACACCACTGCACTCCAGCCTGGGCGGGAGTGAGACCCTGTCTCAAAAACAACAATAGGAAAACATTTTTTCTTCCCCTCTTTCCTTCAAGCTTAAAACTTCTCTCCTCAGTTGCTACAACTATTGATTCGACCTCTGAAACCTCCATTAACTCTTTCCCTTCATTGCTACCGCCACTACTGTAATTCAAACGCTCATTACTTTCCACCTAGATCATGGCAGTATCATCTTAGTTATGTTTAGTATGCCTGTCATGATCTCAGAGTCCACCCCACCAATTCATCTTACAGTGCTGCCAGCTTACAAAGGCACAGCTCTGCTCACATTACATTTCTGCTCAACGATCTCAGTTCCTCAGGTATCTCTGAATAGCAGACAGACATCTAAACCAGTCACTTGAAGGAATCCTTGAGCTTGCCCTAATCAATAGCACCTAACAAGTTTTTAAACGGGAATGCTGGTTTCCCAGTATCTAAATATTTCCTTTCTTTCTATTCATATTGAAAACTCTCTTTAATCAACATCCGGCAGAAGACAATCATCTGCAAGGAAACAGATCTGTAGGAGTTCCATGAATGCCGTGTATTTAAGATGAGAATAAGTACCATGAAAATGACCACAGGTACATGTGCTTCATGAAGTTCCTATAAATTCTACACTGATTACTAATTCAACATCATTCTCAAATACTTACAGGAGTAAATGAGAGCCGGAAAAAGCGTTTCATTTCTCTCCTGAGCTGTTTCAACCAGCATACGAAGTGGACCTTTCGGACACAAAACAGCCACTAAATCTAGAAAAAGAAAAAAGAGAAACGACATCTGATAAAATGTATGGGCTCAACTTGTAAATGGGTGTTAGGAATTAATGAAGCAAAAACATTTAATGTTGTCTCTTTTTATACAAAAAGATGTTGAATTGATATGAACTAATGGCAGGTGAAATGGTGGGGGTGAGGGGGACCACCTAAACAAAATAAAACCACACAGAACAGCTGTAAAAATTTCATTTTGGGTTTGACTGCTATTTGCTTAGTGTGCAGTGTATCATTACTAGGTTCTACAAATAAGCCTTCCCAGTATAAAGGAAAGCTACAGAGATGAAACTATTTTAGAGCAGTTGTCAACCTACAGTGAGCAGAAACAGAAAGAAGTCACTTCTAAACAAGTCACAGACATGAACTATAAATAAAAACATTACTTCGAGAGGAATTTAATAAAAGGAATTTGACTGAACTTTTCAAAATGTGAAGTGAATAGAAGAAACGCATCCCTTCTCCTTTTTAAAAGCAGTATTATGTACTAATAAGAAATGCTTGTAATAAGAGGGCAGTTATTTTTTGATTTCTTCTTTGAGGAACCAAGAGGGCAATAAATTTAAATAAAACAAAACAGTAAGTCTTTGCAAGATAAAGTTTATTATTTCTTTACTCTCTGGTCAAATAAAAGAACTTCACAAATATTCAGGTCTCAGAACATATGTGGTGCTGAAAAGTAGCTTATTTTATAAAAAATAGTGAATCAGAGACGAAGCAATATACCTAAATTATTTTTGTTTATATCACCATCTTTTCCATCAACAGCAATTTTTCTTTCATTCTGTCATCTAAATTCAGCATATAAAAATATAATTTTAAACACTTAAAAATATAAAACAGGTAAAAAATATATAAATATACATGTATACATGTATACATACATATGTATATATACATATGTACAGCTAAATATACCTATTTTAGCTGTACCTGTTTTTTGCACACACACACACACACACACACATAAATATATATAAAACAGGTACAGTTAAATTTGTAAAGGAAGAATTAATAGCTTGTGTTGACACTCCTGTCACTTAGTTGCATTTAAATTTGAAACTTCATCCTTTGCCAGGCATAGTGCTTCGTATTTGTAATTCTAGCACTTTGGGAGGCTGAGGCAGCAAATCGCTTGTGCTCAGGAGTTCAAGACCGGCCTGGCCAAGATGGTGAAATACGGTCTCTACCAAAAATGCAAAAAGATTGGCAGCTCGTGGTGGCAGGTGCCCATAGTCCCAGCTACTCAGGAAGCTGAGGTGGGAGACTGCTTGAGCCCTGGAGGTAGAGGTTGCTGTGAGCCAAGATGGCACCACTGCACTCCAGCCTAGGTAACAAAGTAAGACTCTGTCTCAACAACAACAAAAAAAAATCCATGCCTTGAAGTGGTCACGTCTCTTTGTATTTTACACATATAAAATTATATTTATAATATAGTACAGTAATAAAACATACACAAAGAAATCTCTACTCTCAATACTTCCACTTCAATTTGTTTGAGTCTGCCCTGCTGTGAAGTAATGAGATTTTCAGCTTGTTTGACTCTGCCACATCCTGTAACTATTTCATATAGTTTTATGATATGCTCTCCCTTCAAGAATTGCTGAATGACAAATTTGCTTATTTTTTAGAGTAATTAAAATAAAATTGCTCTTGCTTTGAAAATTTCACAACTTCTATGACAAATTAAACCTTGAAACCTTGTAAAAATGGAGCTGAGAATCACTACTCTAAACATTGGGTACAATAACAATCTCTAAAAGTAAACTTTAAGACCGGGCGCGGTGGCTCAAGCCTGTAATCCCAGCACTTTGGGAGGCCAAGGCGGGTGGATCACGAGGTCAAGAGATAGAGACCATCCTGGTCAACATGGTGAAACCCCGTCTCTACTAAAAATACAAAACATTAGCTGGGCATGGTGGTGCATGCCTGTAATCCCAGCTACTCAGGCGGTTGAGGCAGGAGAATTGCCTGAACCCAGGAGGCGGAGGTTGCGGTGAGCCGAGATCGCGCTATTGCACTCTAGCCTGGGTAACGAGTGAAACTCCGTCTCAAAAAAAAAAAAAAAGTAAACTTTAAGCTCTGTAGAGATACTTACTTATCCGATGTGCAGACAGAATGGAAGGTTGACGGTAAAATATTGTAATACAGTGAAAAGAATATTGGACTAGGGATTCAGATTTGAGATCAGAGTTTAAGCTTGGGCAAATAATTTACATCTGTAAACTTCAAGTTTCTTAGCAGTCAAATAGGGATAATAACTATCTTGATACTTCACAGGGTTATTTAAAAATATAACACTGGGCTGGGTACAGTGCTTCACGCCTGTAATCTCAGCACTTTGAGAGGCTGCCTGAGGCCAGGAGGTCAACACTGACCTGTGCCTGCAGTCCTCTCTACTCAAGAGGCTGAGATAGAAGGACTGCTTGAGCCCAGGTTTTTCAAGCTACAGTGAGCTATGATCACGCCACTATACTCCAGCCTGGGAGACAGAGTGAGACCCTGTTTCTTAAAACAGAAAAAATTTACTGATAGACACTGTTCTAAGTGTATTATTGTATTAAATGTATCATTTAATCTTCAAAACAAGAGACTTAGGGGTTGAGCAACTTGTCTGTGGTCAAACAGCTAGTAAGTGATGAGTAGGCTGCGCGCAGTGGCTCACGCCTGTAATCCCAGCACTTTGGGAGGCTGAGGTGGGTGGATCATTTCAGGTCAAGTTCAAGACCAGCCTGGCAAACATGGTAAAACCCCATCTCTACTAAAAATACAAAAATTGGCTGGGCATGGTGGTGCACACCTGTAGTCCCAGCTACTTGGGAGGCTGAGGCAGGAGAATCGCTTGACCCCGGAAGGTAGAAGTTGGAGTGAGCAGAGATCATGCCATTGCACTCTAGCCTAGGTGACAGAGCGAGACTCCATCTCAAAAAAAACACAAAAAAAGTAATGAGCAGAATTTGAACCCAGGCATTCTGTCTCCAGACCTGGCATTCTCAGTCACAGCAAAGCAATAGATGGTTACTTTGCAAACCATCAAGTACTACACAACATAATGTAATAAGGAAATCAGATAGAGAATATATGACTTCTATAGTTCCACAACTGATTACTCAAATACAAGAACAGAACCAGTTCAATCCCATTTCCATAGACTTCGTCAATCAAATGAGGATGATCTTTCCAATTAGAGGCCACTGAACATTTTAATAAGCATGTAATAGTGATAAAAGTGTATGGCCAGGCATGGTGGCTCACACCTGTAATCCCAACACTTTGGAAGGCTGAGGTGGGAAGATCTCTTGAGGCCAGGAATTCCAGACCAACTTGGGAAACATAGTGAGATCTCATCTCTTTAAAAAAAAAAAAAAAACACAAAAAAAAACTTTTTTTTTTTTTAAATTAGGCATGGTAGTGCATGCCTGTAGTCCTATCTACTTTGGAGACTGAAGTGGGAGGACTGTTTGAGCTCAGGACAGGAGTTTGAGGCTGCAATAAGCCATAATCATGCCACTGTACTGCAGCATGGGTGACAGAGAGATCCTGTCTCTGGAAATAAAAAAACAAAAACAACAAGAATATGACCATGGCCTTTTAATATAAAAGAGGTCACATATCAGTCCCTGAAAATGGATCTCTTTTTTGCTTTCATACAGAACAATAGCCATAGAGTAGGTACATAAAAGCTGCCTGGGTTAATAGCTGGCATATGTTCTGACTGTTCAGGACGCATGTCACACTAGTGGTGGTTACAAAATTTGAATCTCACACTGTCCAAATCAGTTTTATGTTTAAAATCCATACATTACCCTATATAAAGGAGGTAATCTCATTTTGATTTTAAAAGTGAAATGAGGCCAGATGCAGTGGCTCATACCTATAATCCCAATACCTTGAGAGGCCAAGGTAGGAGGATTGCTTGAGCCCATGAGTTCAAGACCAGCCTAGGCAATACAGCAAGACCTCGTCTCTACAAAAAATAAAACAGTTAGCCAGGCGTGTTGGTGCACACTTGTAGTCCTAGTTACTTGAGAGAGGCTGAAGTGGGAGTACTGCATGAGTCCGGGAGTTCAAGGTTGCAGTGAGCTATGATCGTGCCACTGCAAACCAGCCTGGGTGACACAGAAAGACCCTGTCTCAAAAAAAAAAAAAAAAGAAAGAAAGAAAAGAAAAGAGAAAAGCTTATACAATAAGACATAAAAGAAAAAAAAAATCTTTTAAAAAATGAATTGAGCATTTTGTGTGTCTACCACGTCACTCTGTTTGTGCTTTTTTTTTTTTTGGAGACAGAGTCTTACTCTGTCACCCAGGCTGGAGTGCAGTGACGCCATCTCAACTTATCACAACCTCTACCACCTGGGTTCAAGCAATTCTCCTGCCTCAGCTCCTCAAGTAGCTGGGATTATAGGCACATTCTATCACACCCATCTAATTTTTGTACTTTTAGTAGAGACAGGTTTCATCATGTTGGCCAGGCTGGTCTCGAACTCCTGACCTCAAGTGATCCGCTCGCCTCAGCCTCCCAGAGTGTTAAGATTACAGGTATGAGCCACCACACCCAAAAAACCAAATATATGTTTTTTGACATATATTCAATTCACTGAACTTTTACAACAGTGGGAGATGCACTGTTCCCAATAAATAAATGAGAAAGCTGAAGCTCAAAGAGCTCAAGTCACTTTCCTAAGGTCATAAAGACTGTCAGTGGTAGAGATGGAATTTGAATCTAAGTCTTCTCACCAGTTGTTTGTGGCTCCTTCCACTAACCCATCACTGAGTTAAACTAGTGGCAGTAATAAAACATTTTTAAAGAACAAAATTTCTGAAAAAACAAAATTTTTGAGACAGATTCTTGTTTTGTCACCCAGGCTGGAATGTAGTGATGCAATCTCAGCTCACTGTAACCTCTACCTCCTAGGCTCAATTGTTTCTCCCACCTTCCTAAGTAGCTGGGACTACAGCTGTGCACTACCATGACCAGCTAATTTTTGTATTTTCTGTAGATACGAGGTTTTGCCAAGTTGCCCAGGCTGGTCTTGAACTATGAGCTTAGGTGACCTGTCTGCCTCAGCCTCCCAAAGTGCTGGGATTAAAGGCATGAATTACCATGCCCAGCTGAAATTTTCAAATGAAAAAGTTACTATAGCTAATTAATGATTTACTCTAGAGCTATGGAATTTTACCATTTTCTCTAAATCAAGATAGATGAGGAAAGAAAACACTCCAATGAGGCATTTCTGTGACAAATTATCAGTCTTGGGTTTTACCATATACTGAAATCACAGCCAAGATGAGCCATGCAGTCCATTCAGGGAGGTACTTGATAAACACCAGGGCCATGAGGGCACTAATCATAATGAGATATGCCTGCTGGAGTCGAAGTGGACCTTTCCAGTGAATGGCAATCATTCCCACCACACCAAAATTCCAGATCAGGAGTGCAACAGTAATGTAGTCCACAGCAACGTTATAGGTTTTAAACACTTCCCTGAAAAAAAGTTACACAGATTTTAAAAGATTTCTGTACAGTAATTTTCATCAAAACATTGTTTAGAATAATGTGATGGCTCCCAAACATTAGATATTCATATCCCACCTTTATAATTTTAACATAACCTGTATCAACTGTGCTAGTATTTATTTAACACTTTCCTTTAAATTATTATTTATTTTAGCTAGGGTCTCATTCTGTCACCCAGGCTGGAGTACAGTAGTGCAATCACAGCTCACTGCAGTCTTGGCCTCTGGAGCTCAGGTGGTCCTTCCAGCTTGGCCTCCTATGTAGCCGGGACAACAGGTGTGTGCCACCGGCTAATTTTTTTTTTTTTTTTTTTTTTTTTTTTTTTTTGTAGAGCTAGGGTTTCACCATGTTGCCCAGGTTGGTCTCAAATTCCTGGGTTCAAGCAACCTGCCCACCTCAGCTTCCCAAAGTGCTGGGTTTACAAGAATGAGCCATAGCACCTGGCCAACTAATTCACTTTTTTCCCTCAAGCTGAACAACTCACTTTTTCCCTGAAAAAAAGCTGAACTTTTTTTTTTTTTTTCCCAAACAGAAAGCTCTATATCATTCATATAAATGGGAAACCAGTTTCACAGGCCATAACTATAAAAGTAAGTACAAACAGAAAAAAAGATCATGTAATACCTAAAATGTTATACTTCAGTAAATATTAGTTTAAAATATCTGAAATTAGAAAAAAATTAAACATCTGCCAATACATTTTATAGCTACAACATAAATTCCCATACAATGAGATTTAGTCGTCATTAAAAGTAGATATATGGCACAGTGGCTCACGCCTGTAATTCTAGCACTTTGGGAAGCCAAGGTGGGAGGTGGGAGGATCACTTGAGGCCAGGAATTCCAGACCAGCCTGGGCAACACAGTGAGACTCTATCACTACAAAAAATTTTTTTAATTAGCTGGAGGTGATGGCACATACCTGCAGTCCCAGCTACTCAGGAGGCTGGGCAGGAAGATAGTTTGAGCCTCCAAGTTGGAGGCTGTGTGAACCATGCTCACACTACTGCACTCCAGCTTGGGCAACAGGGCAAGATCCTAATTCTAACATTTTTTAAAATTGCATATATATAATTTTAATATATAATTTTTATATACAATTTTTAAAAAATACATTTATAAATATGTATATATTTTGGCATTTCAAAATAGGAGATAAATCATATTTCTGGATAATAATGGAAACCTAAAGTTTATACTTAAATAAAGGTGTGCTTTCTTTCTCCTTCAAAGCAGGAGAGAAATCATCATATATGTATATATATATGTGTGCGTATATATATATGTATGTGTGTGCATATATATGTGTGTGCGTATATATATATATATATATATACGCACACACGTTTTTAATACACACATATAAACATGGAGTATAGGCATAATACACTTGCTTGAAAAAATAAAGGATCCTGTTTATGATCCCATTTACATAAAACTGAGAGAAGAGCAGATGAGAAACTGATGATGACAGGACTTATCTTTAGGTGGTAGGAATCTGGTGATTTTTCTCCTATGTCTTTTTAAAAAAACAATGAATGTTTGGCATTTTTATAATGAAGAAAATGCATTTGAATTTTAGGGAGGAAAAATCCACCATCTAACAACAAAGAGACTGTAACTATAAAAGATGCCTGAGGTAACTGAGGAGAAAGCAAGCACACTTTTAGGCACAAACTTTTGAGTTTCAGGTACTAACCAAAAAGACGATTCCTCTCCCACTTTGAAATTCCAAAACAGAGTAAATGTTGAAATTTCTGGACAATGTAGATATTTATCTGTATTAAGCATTTCAGGTATCCTCAAACTTAAAAAGAAACAACATCCAACCTATTTATTAATCTTTGGCTAGGTAACATGTGAATAAGATATAAAATTCACAACAGATACCGTGAAAACTAGGTTTTCTCCCACTGTGTCTCACAGTTCCCCTCTCTAGCAGAAAGCAGTATTTTATTTTTTTTTGAGATGGGGTCTTGCTATGTTGCCCAGGCTGGCTTTGAACTCCTAGGCTCAAGCAATCCTCCCATCTTCACCTCCGAAAATGTTGAGATTACAAGTGTGAGCCATGGCTGGCTGGAAAGCACTATTATTAATTTCATCCCCCTCCAGAGACTCTATACATATACATACACTTTTCTACTTGACACAAATGATAGCATATTTTAATTATTTCTTCTTTAAATAGAGACAAGTTCTCACTGTCACCTGGTGGCACAATCATACGTCACTGCAGCGTCAAAGTCCTTGGCTCAAGTGAATCCTCCTGCCTCAGCCTCCCAAGCAGTTAGGACTACAGGTATGCACCACCAAGCCTGGCTAAGTTTTGCCTTTTTTTGTAGAGATGGAGGTTCACCATGTTGCCCAGCCTCATTTAGAATCCCTGGGGCTCAAGGATCCTCCCACCTCAGCCTCCCAAATTGGTGGGATTACAAGTGTGAGCAACTACACCTAGCCTTAAAATTTCTCAGTCACAGATCTTGTAAAGTATCTTTTTTACTTCTCTACGCTGTCAGTTTATTCACTTAAAATACCAATTTTTCCACTTTGGGAGTCCAAGGCGGGTGGATCACGACGTTAAGAGATCGAGACCATCCTGGTCAACATGGTGAAACCCCGTCTCTACTAAAAATACAAAAATTAGCTGGGCATGGTGGCGTGTGCCTGTAGTCCCAGCTACTCGGGGGGCTGAGGAAGGAGAATTGCTTGAACCCAAGAGGTGGAGGTTACGGTGAGCCGAGATCGTGCCACTGCACTCCAGCCTGGGTAACAAGAGTGAAACTCCGTCTCAAAAAAAAAAAATTTTCAGAAGCAGCAGCGCTGTAGTGGAACAGGGACTGCTGGTCCTCAGTGCTTGTGCCTTCCCCTGCACAGCATGCACGAGAAGCTCTGAGTACAATATACGTCAGGAGGGTGAATGTGAGCTGGAGAGGGCCTGGAGCCACCATCAGTCACATCCACCCAGTTGTTGGCCTCCAGCTGGCTATGTATCCAAAGGAAGGCAGAGGCCAGCTCAGTCTGCACCTGCTACTGCTTGGTGCCCACCCAGTCACCAAAGACCAACACATGGTAAAGGTCAAGGGCTTCTTGGAGGGCAGTCTGCAGCCTGTGCAAGATGTTCTCCATACTGCTCAGCTAAAGGGAAGCGGGGCCAGGGCCTTAGCCAGCATCTCAGGCTCACTAGTGTCCAGGGCTTACACAATTCTTGTTTACTCATAGATATTTAACTTTTTTGCTGCTATTATAAATGGAATTTGTCCTTTTATTATGTTTCCTAACTAGTTGTTTATGCGAAGGTTATTGATTTGTGGAGTTTTTTTTTTTTTTTTTTTTTTTGAGGCGAAGTTTCGCTCTTGTTGCCCACACTGGAGTGCAATGGTATGATCTTGGCTCACTGTAACCTCCGCTTCCCAGGTTCAAGTGATTCTCCTGCCTCAGCCTCCTGAGTAGCTGGGACTATAGGCGGCTGCCACCACGCCCAGCTTTTTTTTTGTATTTTTAGTAGAGATGGGGTTTCAATGTGTTGGCCAGGCTGGTCTCGAACTCCTGACCTTGGGTGATCCACCCACCTTGGCCTCCCGAAGTGCTCAGATTACAGGCATGAACCACCACGCCCAGCCTAGGGATTTGTGTTTAATTTTGTATTCAACTGCCTTAATAAACTTACTTAGTAATTCGAACTGGTTTTCAGTTAGTTCTTTTTTTTTTTTTTTTTTTCTTTTTTCTTTTTTTTTTAGACGGAGTTTCGCTCTTGTTACCCAGGCTGGAGTGCAATGGTGCGATCTCGGCTCACCGCAACCTCCGCCTCCTGGGATCAGGCAATTCTCCTGCCTCAGCCTCCTGAGTAGCTGGGATTACAGGCACGCACCACCATGCCCAGCTAATTTTTTGTTATTTTTAGTAGAGACGGGGTTTCACCATGTTGACCAGGTTGGTCTCGATCTCTCGACCTCGTGATCCACCCGCCTCGGCCTCCCAAAGTGCTGGGATTACAGGCTTGAGCCACCGCGCCCGGCCGGTTTTCAGTTAGTTCTAAAACAAAGTAAACAATCATTTTATCTCCAAATATTGATAATTTAACCTTCTTTTCCAAATTATATAGTTCTTATTTCTTTCTCTTGTTTAATTGTGTTTGCTAGTCCCTCCAGAGTAATGCTGGATAACCGGTGGTAAAGAAAACCTCCATCTCTGCGGAGCACAGCAGCTCACGCCTGTAATCCCAACACTCTGAGAGGTTGAGGTGGGCAGATCACCTGAGGTCAGAATTTCAAGATCAGCCTGGCCAACGTGGTAAAACCCCTGCTCTACTAAAAATACAAAAATTAGCCAGGTGTGGTGGTAGGCGCCTGTACTTCCAGCTACTTGGGAGGCTGAGGTGGGATAACTGCTTGAATCTGGGAGGTGGAGGGTACTGTGAGCCAAGATCACACCATTGCACTCCAGCCTGGATGATAGACAAAGACTTCGTCTCAGGAAAAAAGAAAAGAAAAGAAAGAAAGGAAAGAAAAAAGAAAGGAATAGAGAAAGAAAGAAAGAAAACCTTCAACTCATTCCTGACCTTAATAGGCAAGCTTCTAGCTTCCCTATGAGGATGACAATAGCTTTTAGAATAAGATTCATATATTTTATCAGGTTAAGAGATTTATTTATTTCTTTATTTTTAGAGAATGGGTCTCGCTCCATCACCCAGGCTGGAGTGCAGTGGTGCAATCATAGTTCACTGCAGCCTTGAATTCCTGGGCTCAAGCCATCCTCCCACCTTAGTCTCCCATGCAGCTAGGACTAGAGGCACACACCACGACTGGGTAATCTATGTTTTGTAGAGGCAGAGTCTTGTTATGTTGTGCAGGTCGGTATCCAACTCCCAACCTCAATCGATCCTCCCACCTTGGCCTCCCCAAGTATTGAGATTATAAGCATAAGCCACCACACATAGCCCCATCTGTCTGTTTTATTAAGGAATCTGATCAAGAGCCGGTGTGGAATCTTATCAAATGCCTTTAGCATGTACAGAGATAATGATTTAGTAATATGGTGACTTATAATGAACCAGTCTTCCATTCTGCAAACAAACTCCACTTGGTCAAATGTATTACTCTTTTAGTCTATTGCTGAATTCTCTTAATATTTTGTTATTCTTTTGAGATCAATAAATATAACTGACCAACGGTTTTCTTTTTCTTGATAACTTGCAGGGCTTTAGTTATCAACGTTATGCTGGCTTCATTAGATTAATCTGGAAGGTTTTTACTTTTTCTGTGTTCTGAAACACTTAAAATAGTGTTACCAATCCTTAAAGGAGGTTTAACAGAATTTCCCTATGAATCCATTGGGGCCCAGTATTATTATTTGTGCAGGTTGGGTAGCAACTACTTCAGTAACTTTCTGTATTTCTTTTTTGCTCTGTTTAGATTTTCTCTCTTCAGGGGTCAGTTTGGGTAATTTTTTTTCTAGAATATCATCCATTTCATAGATTCTCACATTTGCTTCTTTTGTCTGTGATTATTTTTTTTTTTTTTGAGACGGAGTTTCGCTCTTGTTACCCAGGCTGGAGTGCAATGGCGCGATCTTGGCTCACCGCAACCTCCGCCTCCTGGGCTCAGGCAATTCTCCTGCCTCAGCCTCCTGAGTAGCTGGGATTATAGGCACGTGCCACCATGCCCAGCTAATTTTTTTGTATTTTTAGTAGAGACGGGGTTTCACCATGTTGACCAGGATGGTCTCGATCTCTTGACCTCGTGATCCACCCGCCTCGGCCTCCCAAAGTGCTGGGATTACAGGCTTGAGCCACCGCACCCGGCCAGTCTCTTCAAATTTAAGAACTAGGGCAATTGTTTACAAACTGTATTCTGCCACCTGAGCTGAGAAAAAGGCCAGGCTTTTCTCAGTCTGAGCTTCTCTGAGCTTCACTATTCTATTCTCTTTGACCAACCAGATCCACTTTTTTCTTTTCTTTTTTTTTTTTTGAGATGGAGTCTCACTCTATCGCCCAGGCTGGAGTGCAGTGATGCGATCTTGGCTCACTGAAACCTCTGCCACCCAGGTTCAAGCAATTCTCCTGCCTCAGCCTCCCGAGTAGCTGGGATTATAGGCGCCTGCCACCATGCCCGACTAATTTTTAGTAGAGACGGGTTTCAGCATCTTTGCCTTGGCCAGTCTGATCTTGAACTTCTGACCTCGTGCGTGATCCACCAGCCTTGGCCTCCCAAAGTGCTGGGATTATAGGTGTGAGCCATCGCACCCAGCCCAGATACACTTTTTTCTATATTATACGTGAAAATCTCATTTAAGATTTCATTTGAAAGAAAAAAGTGTCACTGATAAAAAACAATACAGATGTACGAAAATTAATTCTTGTTTTTAATACTTTTTAATTTTTTTTCTGAGACGGAGTTTCACTCTTGTTACCCAGGCTGGAGTGCAATGGCACGATCTCGGCTCACCGCAACCTCCGCCTGCTGGGTTCAGGCAATTCTCCTGCCTCAGCCTCCTGAGTAGCTAGGATTACAGGCATGCGCCACCATGCCCAGCTAATTTTTTGTATTTTTAGTAGAGACGGTGTTTCACCATGTTGACCGGGGTGGTCTTGATCTCTTGACCTCGTGATCTGCCCGCCTCGGCCTCCCGAAGTGCTGGGATTACAGGCATGAGCCACCGCGCCTGGCCCACTTTTTTTTTTTTTAATATAGAGACGAGGTTTCACCATGTTGGCCAGGATGGTCTCAATCTCTTGACCTCGTGATCTGCCTGCCTCAGCCTCCCAAAGTGCTGGGATAACAGGCATGAGCCACTGCACCCTTTCTTAAAATTCTGATTCATAGACTTCTACTAGAAGAATATATCATCATCAAAAAGGCTTAGAATTAACTGTAGTCTTGAGTTCTTTCACTTCTACTTATTATAAGCAAGGAACAGAATCATGTCTCAATAGTAATACCGATTTATCGTTTATATACCAAGTATGACCTATATTTGGAAACAAGAGTAATTCATCAACAAAGTACATAGCTTTAAGTGATAGCTATGGAGCACAAAGGTAGTTGATTTTGAAAGACCAAAAATTTCATGACTTACCCCAAGTAAATGAATGAAAAAAAGAACAGCAGCAATAGAGATGATATAATAAGCCAGGCATGGATGACCTAGAAAAGAAAGCATTTCAATGTAATTAAATAACAGGTCCCACAACCTTTTATTTTTTTTTTTGAGATGGAGTCTCACTCTGTCGCCCAGGTTGGAGTGCAGTGGTGCAATCTCAGCTCACTGCAATCTCTGCCTCCTGGGTTCAAGTGGTTCTCCTGCCTCAGCCTCCCGAGTAGCTGGGACTACAGGCATGCACCATCATGCCCAGCTAATTTTTTGTATTTTTAGTAGAGAGGGGGTCTTGCCATGTTGCCCAGGCTAGTCTTGAACTGCTGACCTCAAGCAATCTACCGGCCTCAGGCTCCCCAAGTGCTGAGATGACAGATGTGCACCACCACGCCAGGCCTGCATCTCTCTTTAAAACAACTTCATAAAATAGTACGATTTGGGAAAGGCCAACAGAATGGCTTAAGACATTGGTACTCCTTGGACATTTGAATATTCTAAATTAAGCTGACTATCCAAATACAATGTAGTTGTTTTTGGTATGCTTCTACAAAAATTTTCCAGCATTTTATTACAAAAATTTTCAAACAGCAAAATTTAGTAATTTTTACAATGTACACCCATATATCACCTAGAGTCTACCATTCATATTTTGTAGTACTTGGTTTGTAAAATTTCTGTCTAGCTTCTCATCTATTAGTCTTTGTTATTATTAATACATATCAAAGTAAACTGAACGGCCAGGTGCAGTGGCTCAAGCCTGTAATCCCAGCACTTTGGGAGGCCGAGGCGGGTGGATCGCGAGGTCAAGAGATCGAGACCATCCTGGTCAACCTGGTGAAACCCTGTCTCTACTAAAAATACAAAAAATTAGCTGGGCATGGTGGCACGTGCCTGTAATCCCAGCTACTCAGGAGGCTGAGGCAGGAGAATTGCCTGAACCCAGGAGGCGGAGGTTACAGTGAGCCGAGATTGCGCCATTGCACTCCAGCCTGGGTAACAAGAGCGAAACTCCATCTCAAAAAAAAAAAAAAAAAAAAAAAATTAACTGTTTTTTCTGTTTCTAACATTTTAAGGTTTGGTCTTTTAGCTTCTAGGGCTTGTCACAGACATTGCATAACCAACCACTGATACCAGAAATCCTCAGGCAAGTTACTAAATCTCTGACTCAAAAGCTCCTCTACTTTATACTGGGAGTCAAGCATAAACAACTTTTTCCTATAGAATTGTTTATTGTTTGTGCATGCTAAGATTTGAACATTTTAAAAAATCACAACACAAACAAGTAAACGTGGAAATCTGGCTGAATACAAATCTCTTAGACTGTCTTAAAATGAAGGATGGGGCCGGATGTGGTGGCTCAGGCCTATAGTCCCAGCACTTTAGGAGGCCAAAGGCAGTGGATGACCTGAGGTCAGAAGTTCAAGACCAGCCTGGGCAACGTGGCAAAATCCCGTCTCTACTAAAAATGCAAATATTAGCCAGGCATGGTGGCGCGTCCCTGTAATCCCAGATACTCGGGAAGCTGAAGCAGGAGAATCACTTGAACCCAGAAGGCGGAGGTTACAGTGAGCCAAGATTGTGCCATTGCACTCCAGCACTCCAGTCTGGGTGACAGACAGAGACTCTATCTCAAAAAATAAAATAGGCTGGGCGTGGTGGCTCACGCCTGTAATCTCAGCACTTTGGGAGGCCGAGTCAGGCGGATCACCTGAGGTCAGGAGTTCAAGACCAGCCTGGCCAACATGGTGAAACCCTGTCTTAAAAAATAAATAAATAAAATAAAATAAAATAAAATGAAGGATGGATAAAACACGGACAAAACTGACAAAAAATATATCAAGAAAGGTTTCAGATAAGATGAATAAGCACATTCCATTCTCTGTCCCACTGAACACAGTTACAAAACTTGGGCAGAAAGCAGACAGCTGGTTTCAAGCAATGGAAAGTAAAGAGAAGTAGGTGGGCTTGGAAATTAGAAGTACTAGCAGTTAGCAGACCATTTTTTCCCTCCACCTGTATTCCACACAACCTATGTGGGCATTAGCAAGACAATGGGAGCTCCACAAAACCTCTAGTTCTGGCTTGAGGATTTGGAAAGAAGTCTCCTAACACACAGAGAGAGTAAAAATCCAATTTTTCTTCTTTTCCCCTTTTCTCCATTCTCTTATGCCGAGTCTTCACACGATCCTGTGGTGATGGGTGGCAATGTGGGTGGCAGAAGTCTAAAGTTCAGAGGGAGGGAATCCTTCCTCTCTGGAAGGATGTCAGTCTGAAAGAGTGGGGCAAACAGCCCTTGCTTTCTCTCTCTCATCCCACATTTTGGGCCTGACTTTAGAAATAAAGTCCACTTTCTGGCTGGAAGAATGAAAAAGGGAAGCCCAAGAAACCACAGGGAGATCACAGAATGAGAGAAACTCATGAGAGCAATCTCTTAAAGCTGTTTACAAACTTGTGGGTCCATTCCCCAGGTGAGCAAGTATGTATATGATCCTCAACAGCACATACTGATCCTGATGACCAAATTACAAATAGACCACCACTATACCAGTCTCAGACTGGTGACTGGGTGGCATTTACATGGGGCAGATCTGAGCAACACTGCAAAGGCTTTGAAAAATGAACTGATAATGTAATCATAACTCACACAAGGCTGGCTGGACCTAACCCAATCAGATCAATTGGCCAATAAAACAAAAATATCAACATCCTTGGAGCAAGAAGTAAGGGCAAAAACTGTTAAAATCAAAGAAATTTTTTTAAAGTCTCAGAGGAAAAAAATGTAAAGAAGGGCTAAATGGGAGTTTTAGAACTAAAAATAAAATAACCAAAAACATTTCACTGAATAGGTTTAGTAACAGAAAGCAAATGGCAGGAAACCTGAAGACAGATCAATAGAAATTAACTAACCAGAACAACAGTGAAAACAAATTGGAAAATAAAGAGAGCCTCAGAGCCTCAGAGACCTGTGGAACAATAAAAAGTTATGTGTGCCATCACTCCCAGAGGAGAATAAAGAGCCAGGCATGGTGGCTCACATTTGTAATCCCAGCACTTTGGGAGGCTGAGGCAGGCAGATCACTTGAAGCCAGGAGTTCAAGACCAGCCTGGCCAACATGGTGAAACCCTGTCTCTACTAAAAATACAAAAATTAGCTGGGGATGGTGTCGCATGCCTATAATCTCAGGTACTTTGGAGGCTGAGGCTGCAGTAAGCCAAGATCATGCCAATGCACTCCAGCCTGGGTGACAAAGTGAGACTCAATCTCAAAAAAAAAAAAGCAAGACACCACGGTGGCTCACACCTGTAATCCCACCAGCACTTTGGGAGCCCCAGGCAGGCGGATCACTTAAGGCCAGGAGTTTGAGATCAGCCTGGTCAATATGGTAAAACCCTGCCTTTACTTTAAAAAAAAAAAAAAAGCCAGGTATAGTGAAGGGCACCTATAATTCAAGCATGCTGGGAGGCTGAGGCAGAAGAATCGCTTGAACCAGGGAGGCAAAGGTTGCAGTGAGCCAAGATTGTGCACTGCACTCCAGCCTGGGTGACAGAGCAAGATTCCATCGCAAAAAAAAAAAAAAAAAGATATTTTTTAGATCTTTTTTTTTACATTATTAGTTCATTTTTCAAAGATGACGCTTTCTCTTTTATATGTAAAAATATGAAAACACAGAAAAATTAAGTAATTTCCTAAGATTACGAGGAGAAAGAACTCTTGAGTCCAGAGCTCTGTCTATCCAATTACACAGGTATTTTGTAAGGAAAAGGCAGGAAATCTAGAAAAAATTCTAGATTATAAGAAAAGGTAGAATTCCACCCTCCAGTAAAATCTGAGAAATAGAAGAACAAAAGTATCACAGGGCGGCTGGGCGCAGTGGCTCATGCCTGTAATCCCAGCACGTTGGGAGGCCTAGGCAGGCTGATCACGAGGTCCAGATGGTGAAATCCCATCTCCATACACAAACAAAAAAAGCATCACAGGATCCTGATAAAAGTCACAAGGTCAGTCTACTAAAGCAGAGAAACTAAAGGCAAGTAAACACGCACAGGCAAAATATGTATGGTGAAAAAGGGATAAAGGAAAGGAATTAAGAAACTAGCATTTTTAAAGTAGGGGAGGGGAACGCTACCCAACATGGATTTGTATCACTTGCTTTTTGGCCTTCTGAGTGTTGACAACAACGTGTCATCATCATACATCGCTTTCATCTTTAATGGTCTCCATACACTAACAGATGACACAGATGGTCATCACTTAACACTTCCACTCACTCAAATGTTCAACAAGCAAGGTTAAACTCTGTGTAATTTTAAAGTTCACAAGCATTGAAAAGGTATGGGATACTACTAGTAATCAAATAAATGCAAATTAAGACATTTTCTTTACCTATAAAAACCAGCACAGAGTTAAAAAAAAAAAATTCAGCACTGATGGGGTATAACAGATATTCTCATTCACTACTGGTATCAAGTACAAATTGATAAACTTTTTGAAAACAGGATTTTGTGTACCAAACGAGTTATAAATATGTAGATAATTTGCCCCAGAAATTCTACATCTAGGATTTTATCCTAAGGAAATAATTTGAAAAACTGAAAAGCGCCGGGCGCAGTGGCTCAAGCCTGTAATCCCAGCACTTTGGGAGGCCGAGGCGGGTGGATCACGAGGTCGAGAGATCGAGACCATCCTGGTCAACATGGTGAAACCCCGTCTCTACTAAAAGTGCAAAAAATTAGCTGGGCATGGTGGCACGTGCCTGTAATCCCAGCTACTCAGGAGGCTGAGGCAGGAGAATTGCCTGACCCCAGGAGGCGGAGGTTGCGGTGAGCCGAGGTCGCGCCATTGCACTCCAGCCTGGGTAACAAGGGCGAAACTCCATCTCAAAAAAAAAAAAAAAGAAAAACTGAAAAAGTTGTAGGCATAAAGATACTACTGTTTTTTAAAATAGTGAAACACCAAGAACAAATGTCCAACATCAGGGACATTTGACAAGTAAATTACAATGTACTCGAGTCAAACATCACATAGCCATATAAATATTTTCTAACAATTTATAACAGAAAAAATGCTTATGCCAAAGTAAAAGAAAGGATGCACAGAGATTATATATACTAAGCATGTTAGAAAAGTATACAGAAATAAACACTAGAAGGAAACAGAGCAGACTCCAACATTTGGAAAGTTAACTTTTTTTGGGGGAGGTGCGGGTAGAAATAGGTCTCACTATGTTGCCCAGGCTCGTCTCAAACTCCTGACCTCAAGCAATCCTTCTGCCTTGGACTCCCAAAGTGCTGGGGTTATAGGCACGAGCCACCATTTATTATTTCTAATATTTGAAAATGACCTTAAAGGTCCATGACTTGTGATAATGTATAATTTTTTCTAAGGTATGAGTCTGAAACGTGCTAGCTGGCTGAAACTCGACAGTAAGCTACTTGGCAAGAAAGTGAGCTAGGGGAGGAGAGGCTGAGAAGGGTGGATTTGTGTCTTTCCTGTATAACCTCCCAGCCCCCACTTCCCAAGGAATGAAGTTGTAGAGATGGTGAGGGGATGCATGATGGCTACCAGTTTAGGCAAGGGATGACCAGTCACCAGTCAATTTAACATCAGCATCTGTAGATGGCTTTATTGTTCTGTTCTCCAATATGAAAATCTGACTTCAGTTACACCGTATTTAACAGGGACCATTATATCCTATAGTGTTATTTGTGAATGAGGGGATTCACAAAGGTCTTAAGAGTATATTTCTTCAGTATACTGTAAATCAAAATATTAAAACCACTTAGGGCCAGGTGCAGTGGCTCATGCCTGTAATCCCAGCACTTTGGGAGACCAAGGTGGGCAGATCACTTGAGGCTAGGAGTTCAAGACCAGCCTGGCCAACATGGTTAAACCCCATCTCTACCAAAAATACAAAAATCAGTCAGGCATGGTGGCACACGCCTGTAATCCCAGCTACTTGGGAGAAAGAGGCAAGAGAATTGCTTGAACCTGGAGGGTCCAGGCTGCAGTGAGCCAAAATCGTGCTAATGCAGTCCACTCCAGCCTGGGTAACAGGGCAAGACCCTGCCTCAAAAAACAAACAAACAAACAAAAAACCACTTAAGATTGTGCTACTGTATGAAAATGTTTATTTTCCAGTTATGCCTTTTTGTGTTTTCTGGGTTTGTTTTTTGAGACAATGGTCTAAAAAGGCACTGAAATCCAAAATAATATGAACCATCACTAACTCTTGATATAAGTAATATAATAACTTATATAAGTAATATAACTAATCATTATATACTTAATACCTCTTTTTCATGACATATAGATGCCATGAATATAAAATACTTCCAGTACTTGTTTTTTTGTTTTCTTTTATAGAAAAAGGGTCTTGCTATGTTGTCCAAGCTGGTCTTGAACTCCTGGTATCAAACGATCCTCCTGCCTCAGCCTCTGAGGCTGGCACATGCACCTGGCTTCCTTTGTATTTTTTTAATGATCCACAGTGAGGAGGAAGAAAACTAAAAGTTAACTTAGCTCTAGAAGACAAAACCTTTTTCTTTCCTGGATCAGTTAAGGTACTGTGACAGGAATAACCAACCATAAGAACAGGGTGAAAAGCAAAAATCTGTGGCTCATGCTCACCTTATAGCACCTGTATTTATAGAGAACCACCAGGAGAATAGTCATGACAACAATGACACTGATCATGATGGCAGCATTCAGAATTGAGTGCAGGGCTCTTTGGCCCACAGTCTCGGTATCTTCTGTGAATGGGGTATAGATTCTATAATAAAACAAAACACAAAAGCCCTAGGTAAGTGTTAATGGAGATCCTCAACCACATTACTACCTCCAACACAGAATTTTATTTTTCTCAATTCAATTCTTATAAGTCACTTCCCCCAACTCACCAATCTAGCTAAGAATTGTTAACCTGAGAAAAACACCTACACTCTAAAATAACTGCTTCAAAGAAAGTATCTAACATATGGAAAGAAGACCTTACATGTGAAGCAGACAATGGCTCCATCTAGTGGGTGTTTTATATTGAAATAATTATAATAACTCATCAAATGTTCTTTGGCTACAGCTTATTAGGAACTTGTTAAAGAACCAGATTCTGCCACAAAAACCACATCGGCTGACAAGTGGTTGTTAAAAGGTAATATGGCTTATAATTAGTGCCTCTCATCTGTAAAGTAATTGCAACTGGAGTTTTCTTAAGATAATGTGACATATCCATCTTCCCCTTGTTTCTCATTCACAGAAAAACATTTTTATTCCATGTACCACTATTCCTAGCAAAAAAGACTATTTCTTACTCCTTCATATTTATGGATGGCTATGAGAATAAGTAATGGCAATGACTTTTAAGGAGACATGCTGTGTATTGAACTTCTAAGAAAGGAGTGAATTCTGCTGACATGTCCTATGATCTTTTTCTCCCCTACTCCTTCCTACTGTCAGAATGCAGGCTAGGGCTCCAGCCTGGACCCTGAAGTAACCTAGACGTTAGAAGCTAAAGAAGAAAGGAGACTGAGTCCTTGATTAATGTAAAGCCAGTGTACTAATCTGGACTGCCTACATCTGTACTACTCTATGAGAGAGAAAGTACATACATTATTTAAACGAGTTATTTTGATTTTCTGTAACAAGGTCAGAAAAATTTCTGTAAAGAGCAAGATAGTGAATTTTTTTTTCTTTTTTTTTTTTTTGAGATGGACTCTCGCTTTGTTGGCAGGCTGGAATGCAGTGGGGTGATCTCAGCTCACTGCAACCTGTACCTCCCAGGTTCAAGCAATTCTCCTGCCTCAGCCTCCCCAGCAGCTGGGACTACAGGTGCACGCCACCACACCAAGCTAGTTTTTTGTATTTTTATCAGAGATGGGGTTTCACCATGTGTTGACCAGGATGGTCTTAATCTCGTGATCCATCCACCTTGGCCTCCTAAAGTGCTGGAATTATAGGCATAAGCCACTGCACCCGGGCCACACAGTGAATATTTAAAGTTCTGTGGGTCATATGGTCTCCATTGCAAGCACTCAACTGTGCCATTGTAGTGTGAAGCAGCCACAGACAATGTATAAACCAAGGAGCGTGGTCATGTTCCAATGAAAGTTTATTCACAAGTTTGTGAACAACTTTGTTACTACACCTTTGTGGAAAGGTAGCCGGCAGATCTGGCCTGTGGCTGTAGCTTGCCAATGTTTGTTCTATAATATGTTGCCAAACCTAACCCTAACCTATACAAAGAATATTCTTCAATCCTTCCAGCTCTAACTCCTGCCCTTCACCTGCTGTCTTAGATGTTCTCCCAAAAGACTCAAAGTTTGGCTTTCAGAACACCATGTAGTTTTTCAGACACTTCACAATTTCAAATTCTAAAACTCAACAGTCTTCTTGGGGGCTGGGCGCAGGGGCTCACACCTATAATCCCAGCACTTTGGGAGGCCAAGGCAGGTAGATCAAGAGGTCAGGAGTTCAAGACCAGCCTAGCCAACACAGTAAAACCCCATCACTACTAAAAAAAATACAAAAATTAGCCAGGCGGGGTGGCAGACACCTTTAATCCCAGATACTCTGGGGGCTGAGCAGAGAATTGCTTGCACCCAAGAGACAGAAGTTGTAGTGAGCCAAGATCATGCCACTGCACTCCAGGCTGGGCGACAGAGCAAGACTCCATCTCAAAAAAACAAACTCTTCTTTGGGCCCCATGAGAGCCCTAGAGATGGAACTAGATGACATCTGAATGGAAGCATTTTTCTTGGAGGCCAAGTGCTGACAGCAGCACCAGGGAATCCACATGACAGCATCCCAAGAGTCTAGTTATTTATCCTTTCAGTTAATGATGTTTTGGCCATTTATTATATACCTCACCCTAGAGACACAGTACCCTCACAGGCCTTGCAAAAAAGAAGAAAATCAGGCATTAAATAATGTAAATAAATATATATTTGTAAATTGTGACAAATGAGAAAGGAGAAGTTGCTATGAGAAATAATATCAGGAAGCACCTGATCATGTTAGGAGTAACAAGAGTGTTATCTTTGAGGACTTATCAAAATTTAAGCTAAGAGGAGGGAGATGACAGGAATTTAATCCACCAAAGTTAGAAAAGGAAAGAATATTCTGGTGGGGCAGGGGAAGGAAACAAAAAAAAAAAAAAGAATATTCTAGGCAGAAGAGCAATGGGCCCAATGGCCCTGAGAGGGGAAAGAATTTATATGTTCAATTCAGCATAACTTCAGCTCTATCCAGTAATACCACATAGGAAACATACCTCTGCAGTGTTCCTTTTCACCACTTAAAACATCAAGTAACCCCTTGCTCTCGCAACTGCTCCTGATCATCAGAAAGGATGGACTCTCTAGCTGTCATGCCCCTTCAATGCAGAGGCGTTTAAGGTGATAATAACATGCTGTAAAGAAAAGTCACACAGGCTTTGAGAATAAAAAAACAAAACTCATACGTACAGCTGCCCATCCTTCCGGGTATAAAAGCTGACTGATTTGATAGTAGCCACGACCACCACCATGCAGAGAGTCACAGGGACAAAGAGCATGATCACATGCTTGGCGCCATATTTCAATGTCAGCTCCTCATCTTCTTCCTCATCTTGTTCCACCACCTGCCTCGAGTTACCCTGGGGTCGTCCATTAGATAACGGCTCAGGGTGGCCAACTCTCCGCCTGTCGCTGTGCTCCTGCCGTTCTCTATTGTCATTCTATAAGCACAAGGAAAACTTTTTCAGTAAATCAGACTCTCAGCAAAATCAAGGTAATAGTAAGACCCGGGATTATCAATAGGCCCATCACTGCATGAGTTCTAAAAACCTGATGCAAGAAAAAAACAATTTACAAAAAGTATGAAGTTTAAAAGTCTAGATTATTTATCACTGTTCACTGAAGGCACTCAGGTCCTCTCTTTTACCTGGGTCTTGGCTTGCTTCGTTCTCTCTGTTCATCCCAGCGTAATACAATTGCTTATCCTTTGAGATGTAGTTTAAATACTGACACCTGCATGGAACCTTCTTTACTGGCTGCAGCTCCAAACACCTTTTTCCAGTCAGCTTTTTAACTGTGATTCTAGACCTGTTATGCAAGGAACTTACCTTACCAAGACTTTTAATATCCTTCTGTCAGAGGGGCTGGGTAAAATAAGGCTGAGACCTACTAGGCTACGTTCACAGGAGGTTAGGTATTCTTAGTTACAGGATGAGACAGGAGGTCAGCAAAAGACAAAGGTCATAAAGACCCTGCTGATAAACAGGCTGCAATAAAAAGGCTGGTGAAAACCCATGAAAACCAAGATGGCGATGAGAGTGACCTCTGGTCATCCTCACTGCTCACTATCTGCTAATTATAATAATTAGCATGCTAAAAGACACTCCCACCAGCACCATTACAGTTTACAGATGCCATGGCAACGTCCAGAAGTTACCCTATATGGTCTAAAAAAGGGAAGGATTCTCAGTTCTGGTAATTGTCCACTTCTTTCCCAGAAAACTTATGAATAATCCACCCCTTGTTTAGCATATAATCAAGAAGTAACAGGCCTCGTGTTGTGGCTCATGCCTGAAATCCCAGCACTTTGGGAGGCCAAGGTGGATCACTTGAGGTCAGGGGTTCAGGCCAACATGGTGAGACCCCCTCCCCTACTAAAAATACAAAAAAACTGGCTGGGCACGGTGGCTCACACCTGTAATCCCAGCACTTTGGGAGGCCAAGGCAGGCAGATCACCTGATGTCAGGAGTTAGAGACCATACTGGCCAACATGGAGAAACCCATCTACTGAAAATACAAAATTAGCCGGGCACTGTGGAGCATGTAATCCCACCAGCTACTCAGGAGGCTGAGGCATGAGAATGGTTTGAACCTGGGAAGCGGAGGTTGCAGTGAGCCATGATCATGCCACTGCATTTCAGCCTGGGCAACAAGAGCAAAAACTCCATCTGGGAAAAAAAAAAAAATTAGCCAGGCATGGTGGTGCGCTCCTGATATCCGAAGGCTGAGGCAGGAGAATTGCCTGAACCCAGGAAGCGGAGGTTGCAGTGAGCTGAGATCATGCCTCTGCACTCAAGCCTGGGCGACAGAGTGACACCTGTCTCAAAAAAACACAAAGAAGTAACAATAGGTATCTCTCTTACCCAGGCTGGAAGAAGTGGCACGATCTCAGCTCACTGCAATCTCTGACTCCCAGGTTCAAGTGATTCTCTTGCCTCAGCCTTCCGAGCAGCTGGAATATAGGCGTACGCCACCACACCTAGCTAATTTTTGTATTTTTAGTAGAGATAGCATTCACCATGTTGGCCAGGCTGGTCTCAAAAGTCCTGGCCTCAAGTGATCTACTAGCCTTAGCCTCCCAAAGTGCTGGGATTACTGGTGTGAGCCACTGCACCCAGCCATCAAGCTACTGCTCTCTGCCTATGGAGCAGCCATTCTTTTATTCCTTTCTTTCTTAATAAATTTGCTTTCACTTTACAGATTAGTCTCGAATTCTTTCATGCTCGAGATCCAAGAATCCTCTCTTAGTGTCTGGATTGGGACCCCTCTCCTCTAACACTTTTATCCTTATCCTGGGCTTATCTTTTCCTATTCTTAAAGTTCAGGCCAGATGCAGTGGCTCACACCTGTAATCCCAGCACTTTGGGAAGCCAAGGCAAGTGGATCACTTGGGCTTGAGCTCAGGAGATTAAGACCAGCCTCGGCAACCTGACAAAACCCCGCCTCCACAAAAAATTAAAAAATCAGCCGGACCTGGTGGCATGTGACTGTAATCCCAGCTTTTCTGGAAGTTGAAAAAGGAGGATCTCTGGAGCCCAGGAGGTGGAGGCTGCAGTGAGCTGAGCCTGCACCAATGCACTCCAGCCTGGGTGACAGAGTGAAATCCTGTCGGGGGAAAAAAAAAAAAGTTGCACTTCTTTTTTCAGTATCACTGTTCATTATCTTCAAGTACTGTCTTTGTAAACAGCAAGGTTAAGTAACACGAGCAATAACAACAATAAAAATAGTAGGTGACTTGCCAGGCACAGTGGCATGTACCTGCAGTCTTAGCTACTTGAGAGGCTGAGGCAGAGGGATCACTTGAGCCCAGGAGTTCAAGTGCAGTCTGGATAACATAACAAAACCTCATCTCTAAAGTAAGAAAAAAACTAAAGACAATTAAAAATACATGAGTGAAAAAATCAGGTCCTCCCAGTCCTGGATAAGTAAATAGGAGATGAAAATAGATTGAGCATTACTGTTAAGAGTCAAAAAATAAGCTTGAGTAAGCTAAGGTTCTCTTAGAAAAACCATTTGAGAGCAAGCCTCTCTTGGACCTCCTTTCCGACGACATGGTATAATTATTATTATTATTATTATTATTTTTTTTTTTTTTTTTGAGACGGAGTTTCGCTCTTGTTACCCAGGCTGGAGTGCAATGGCACGATCTCGGCTCACCGCAACCTCCGCCTCCCGGGTTCAGGCAATTCTCCTGCCTCGGCCTCCTGGGTAGCTGGGATTACAGGCACACGCCACCATGCCCAGCTAATTTTTTGTATTTTTAGTAGAGACGGGGTTTCACCATGTTGACCAGGATGGTCTCGATCTCTCGACCTCGTGATCCACCCGCCTCGGCCTCCCAAAGTGCTGGGATTACAGGCTTGAGCCACCGCGCCCGGCCGACATGGTATAATTATTACTAACAAGTATTAACTACTATTTATTTAAAAAACACTTCATGACGGCTGGGCGGTGGCTCACACCTGTAATCCCAGCATTTTGGGAGGCTAAGGCTAGTGGATCACTTGAGGCCAGAACTTTGAGACCAGCCTGGCCAATATGGTGAACACTGTCTCTACTAAAAATACAAAAATTAGCTGGGTGTGGTGGCACATGCCTGTAATTCCAGCTACTTGGAAGGCTGAGGCAGGAGAATCGCTTGAACCTGGGAGGCAGAGGCTGCAGTGAGCTGAGATCTTGCCACTTCCCTCTAGCCTAGGCGACAGAGACAGACTATCTAAAACAAAACAACAAAAAGCACTCCACATTTAATAACAGCTTAAAATGATTATAGTGTACCCGGGACTGTGATATATGCTTTACATTTAATTCTCAGTCACCCCATCATCACCACTTTTCAGGTGAGGAAACAGCCACAGCTGGTGAGTATTACAGAGAGGGTTTAAACCCAGGCCAGCCTGGCTTCAGAAATCAAGTTCTTAACTACCTCTTAATTTGCTGTTCACAAGACAAACATGGGAGCTCTACAGACCCAGTGTGAGCTGAAGGTTCTTAATTCACTTTCAATATATTCATCCCACAAGTAATTATCAAAATTCTATATTCCAAGTACTCTGCTGTGGCAATACTGAAATTAATAAGATCTAGAGACTGTCCTTAAAAGGTTCATAAGCTGGTTTTCGAAACATGTTGCAAAGAACTCTGCCATACCAAGAACTTCAGACTTCACCCTAGGCAATAATAGTCATAAAAATTGTTAAGGTGGGACAGGCACGGTGGCCTGTAATCCCAGCATTTTGGGATGCCAAGATGGGTCAATCACTTGAGGTCAGGCGTTCAAGACCAGCCTGGCCAACATGGTGAAACCCCACCTCTACTAAAAATATAAAACTTAGCCAGGTGTGGTGGCAGGAGCCTATAGTGCCAGCTACTCAGGAGACTGAGGCAAGAGAATCACCTGAATCTGGGAGACAGACGCTGCAATGAGCAGAGATCGGGGCACTACACTCCAGCCTAGGTGACAAAGTGAGGCTCAAAAAAAAAAAAAAATTGGTAAGGTTGAAGAAGTAACATAATCAGAGGTTCCATTTTTAGGAAACTTGACTGAGTGGCAATGAATGAGGTATCCAGGATAAGGAACTAGGTAGGTGATAAAGATATTGGTAGAGATAAGGAACACAAGAAGATAAGCAGGGTAGAAGAGAGAAAAAATGCTTTAGTTAGAGAGATAACCAGGCAGTTAGGTCCAATGCCAGTTACCAACAGGAATTTCAAGCTCAGAAGAGTCACAGGAAGTCACTGGTCTCTATAGCCTCAGAAATGGATAAAATCTCAGGTCTCAGAAATGAATGAAATAGCTGTGGGCGGAAAAATATAGTGAAAAGATGACCAAGGAGAGAAGTGTAAATAACCCATACGCAGCAGGTGATGGGAGAAAACCAGCAAAAGAGATTGAGAATAAAGGAAAGGGAAGAAAACTCAGGAATCAACATAACACAGAACACAAAAGAGGAGCACAAATCAAAGACGCGTCATCAACAGTCTGGCAGGATGAGCGCTAAAAAGACCTTGAATTGGCAATAGGATGTTCATCAAGGGTTTTACAAAAGTAAAACTATGAAGAGGGAAGTCAGGTTGAGATGAGACAGGATAATTCCCTTGACGCCCTCAAGGCTTGGGGTGTGGCTTGTTTACTCGGCAAGGCAACCACCCACTCAAACCCCTTGCAAGAAGGAGGGAGCGAGTGTGGGAACCAGAGCAACCTTTGCTCCTCTCTGGCGGGAGCAGGCTCTGTGCGGGGCCTGTAGCAGCGTCCAGGCATGTTACAACTAATGCTCCTTCAACTCTGCCATTCAGGGATGGCCAAGTGCCAACCAGCTCAGTGGAGGGTCAGGGTGGCAGCCCCTGCCCTCTCCTCTTGGCACCCAGGTTCTTGTTTGGCATCCAGGAATAATCAGGTCACACGAACAAATTAAAGGGTAGTGTATGCAGGGGATTTTACTGCATGATGGAAGTGGTTCTCAGCAGGATGGAGAGCTGGAAAGGGAATGGTGTGGGAAGAAGGTGATCTTTCCCTGAAGCTAGGCCATCTCCAGCCAGGCCCTTTCTCCAAAGTAGCACCATCTGAAGTTACCATGTGTGTCCATAGCCTCCAACACTCAGCTGCTTCTCTGCTCACTGCTCAGATGCTTGTATCCTTCACACTCAGCTACTTGTATTTCTGATGATGAGCCACGTCTATTTCCAACACTCAGCCATTTGTATCCCTGACATTTAGTTGTTTGTGTTGTTCTGCCACCTGATTTTTTTTTTTTTTTTTTTTTTTTTTTGGAGACAGAGTCTTGCTCTGTTGCCCAGACTGAAGTGCACTGGTGCAATCTGGGGTCACTGCAAACTCCACCACCCAGGTTCAAGCAATTCTCCTACCTTATCCTCCCAAGTAGCTGGGATTATAGCGCCCACAACCAAGCCCAGCTAGTTTTTGTATTTTTAGTAGAGATAGGGTTTTGCCATGTTGGCCAGGCTGGTCTTGAACTCCTGACCTCAGGTGATCTACCTGCATCGGTCTACCAAAGTGCCAGGATTACAGTCGTGAGCCACTGTGCCCAGCTCAGCTGAAATATTTTTTTGGGGCACAGGATAGGGGAGCGGCAGGCCAAAAAGGTAACATTTGGGTGGGGGAAAAAAAAAGCTGTTTTCACTTAAGGCTGCAGTTCCAGGCTTAAGGGTGAAGTTTAACCAGGAATCCAGCTCTTCGGTATCAGGGTCATAAATCATAATGGACTGGAAAATAATTGAGAATTGAGAAGGTAAAGGCAATCATTATTTGAAGAAAAAAACAAAACAAAACAAAACAAAAAAACGTGAAAGGGGCTTGCAATAGAGCGGGATTGCCGGGCGCGGTGGCTCAAGCCTGTAATCCCAGCACTTTGGGAGGCCGAGGCGGGTGGATCACGAGGTCGAGAGTTCGAGACCATCCTGGTCGACATGGTGAAACCCCATCTCTACTAAAAATACAAAAAATTAGCTGGGCATGGTGGCGCGTGCCTGTAATCCCAGCTACTCAGGAGGCTGAGGCAGGAGAATTGCCTGAACCCAGGAGGCGGAGGTTGCGGTGAGCCGAGATCGCGCCTTTGCACTCCAGCCTGGGTAACAAGAGCGAAACTCCGTCTCAAAAAAAAAAAAAAAAGAAAAAAAAAATAGGGATTTAAACTTGAAAAAGTTATCCAACCCCACTGGAAATGAAGACAATAAAAAAGCCAGAAACGGTTAGTTTAGAGCTGTAGAGACTTGAGCATACCAACCACGTCAAAGTGTAGACTTAAGATCAGAGGAAGATTGGTAGCCTATAGGATGGATTTTTAAAATATATATATATATATATATATAAAATAAAAGATTAGAGGAAGAGACAAAGTGGGGATTAAAACTAATGGAATAAGGTAAGGCATAATAAAGGAGAGTGCTATAGTTTGAACGTTCCCCCCAAAAGTTCATGTACTGGAAACTTGGCTGCCACTGTGGTATCACAAGGTAAGGCCTTTAGGAGGTGATTGGGTCATGAGGATTCCACCTTCATGAATGAATTACAGGTTCAGTATCCCTTATATGAAGTGTTTGGGATTTTGCATTTTGGAATATTTCCATTATACTTACAAGTTGGGCATAGCAAATATGAAAATCCAAAATGCTCCAATAAGCATTTCCTTTGAGACTCAGGTTGATATTCAAGAAAGTTGTGGATTTGGGAGCATTTTGAATTTCAGACTTTCAAATTAGGGATACTCAACCTGTAATGTCAATATCGCAGGAATGGGTTCGTTATCATGGGAGTGACTTTGTTATAAAAGCAAGCTCTCTCTTGCCCTTTTGCCTAACCACCATGGGATAATCCTCCTCAGATACTGGAACCATACTCTTGGACCTTCCAGCCTCAAGAACCATGAGTCGAATAAATTTCTTTTCTTTATAAATCACCCAGTCTCAGAAAAACAAAATAATTTAAAAAGATAAAAAAGAAGAAAACAAACAACAACAAATAAATAAATCACCCAGTCTGTGGTATTCTCTTATCAGCAATACAAAATGAACTAAGACAGAGGGGAACAAAAAAAAAAAGGGAGAGACTGCCCTTTTTTTTTTTTTTTTTTTTTTTTTGAGACAGAGTTTCGCTCTTGTTACCCAGGCTGGAGTGCAATGGCGCGATCTTGGCTCACCGCAACCTCCACCTCCTGGGTTCAGGCAATTCTCCTGCCTCAGCCTCCTGAGTAGCTGGGATTACAGGCAAGCGCCACCATGCCCAGCTAATTTTTTGTATTTTTAGTAGAGACAGGGTTTCACCATGTTGACCAGGATGGTCTCGATCTCTTGACCTCGTGGATCCACCCGCCTCGGCCTCCCAAAGTGCTGGGATTACAGGCTTCAGCCACCGTGCCCGGCCGAGACTGCCCTTATAAAGGCATGGTGCCCTCTCCTTCAGTCTGGAGGTCAGGATTTCTCTTAAAATAATTATGAAGACCCAAACCCTATGAGAAATGGAAAGGAAACTATTCTAAAGCATAACAGGTAGAAATATATATATCACCCTTCAACAAAGATTATTTTTGCTGAACATAAGTCTCCAGAGTGGCTAAAGCCCAGCAGAATGGAAATGTTTATAAGGAAGGTGAGGCCAAAGGGACCAGAACAGTGTAACAGAGAGCAAGGAGTAGCAGGAGAACTGAGAATTCATACTCCTATTCTTCCAGAGAAGAAGGTGACTTAAGTCATCTGCCAAGAATGTTATATCTGCCATTGATGTTCAGCAATACAAATCTGAACAACTTGACTGGCTGATTAATGTTTACAATAAACATACAAGTAATAATAGCCATCTTTATACTGTATTTGATATTTACAAGGCATTGTCACATTGTTTCATTTATTATTTTTATGTCTTGAGAAGTTTTGGTAAGTGAACACAAAAGTAATTTATCGAAAATCTCACAACCAGAAAACAGCAGAGTAAGAATCAAACCAAAGTCTCTTGCTTCAAAACTTGTATTCTTTCTATAGCACCACACAGCCATCCTTTTATGTCATACGAACAGTTTAATTAGCTAAGTCTAGCATGAAAGGGGCAATCATATGCTCATTCACAATCCTCAACTGCATGATCTGGTTCATAATGAACATTAGCTAACTCAACCCTGCCCTGCCCTGCCCTGCCCAAGACTGATAATGAGATGGATACCAGAACACTGCTTAACAGTAATACACACATTCACAAACCCTTCCTCTTTGCAGTACGTTGGATATTACTTTTATTACTATTACTGCTTCAGCCTCCCAAGTAGCAGGAATTATAGCTGCCCACCACCATGCCCAAGTAATTTTTGTATTTTTAATAGAGATGGGGTTTCACCATGTTGGCCAGGCTGGTCTCGAACTCCTGACCCCAGGTGATCCACCCACCTCAGCCTCCCAGAGTGCTGGGATTACTACTTTTATTTTTATTTATTTTTTTATTTTTATTTTTTTTTTTGGAGACAACGTCTCCTTGTATCACCCAGGCTAGAATACAGTGGTATGATCTTGGGTCACTGCAACCTCTGCCTCCCAGGTTCAAGCAATTCTAGTGCCTCAGCCTCCCAAGTAAGTAGCTGGGATTACAGGCCATGGGCCATGACCCCTGGCTAATTTTTGTATTTTTAGTAGAGACGAGTTTTTACCACGTTGGCCAGGCTGGTCTTGAACTCCTGGCCCGCCTGGAGTGATCTCCACCTTGACCTCCTAAAGTGCTGGGATTGTAGTCATGAGCTACCATGCCCGGCCGTGGACGCTATTTTTTTTTTTACCCCCTGCCCCCACCCCGCCAAGAGAATCTTGCTGTTACCCAGGCTAGACTGCAGTGGTGCGATCTCTGTTCACTGCAACCTCCCCCTCCGAGGTTCAAGAAATTCTCCAGCCTCAGCCTCCCCAGTAGCTGGGATTATAAGTGCTCAATACCATACCCAGCTAATTTTTGTATTTTTAGTAGAAATGGGGTTTCACCATGTTGGCCAGGCCGGTCTCAAACTCCTGACCTCATGATCCACCAGGTGTGAGCCACCACACCTGGCCAGACAATACTTTTAAAAGTGATTGTTTCAGGCATGGTGGCACATGCCTAGTCCCAGCTACTAAAGCGGGAGGATAGTTTGAACCTAGAAGTTCAAGTCTAGCCCAGGCAATGTAGTAAGACACCATCTCTAAGAAAAAAAAATATGTTTTAATTTCTTTCTTTTTTTTTTTTTTTTAAAGTACAGTTTGGGCCAGGCGCTGTGGCTCATGCCTGTAATCCCAGCACTCTGGGAGGCTGAGGCTGGTGAAACCCCATCTCTATTAAAAACACAAAAATTAGCTGGGCATGGTGGTGGACACCTGTAATCACAGTTATTTGGGATGCTAAGGCAGGAGAATCCCTTGAACCCAGGAGGCAGAGGTTGCAGTGAGCCGAAATTATGCCACTGCACTCCAACCATGGTGACAGGAGACTCCATCCTAAAAAAAGAAGAAAAAAGTACAATTTGGTGACAGAAGTGCTGGTTAGAGATAAAAATGGCAGATTCACTGGCTGTCCAGATTTAATTTATCAATGAACATACATATCTGAAAATAAGAAGCAAGTTCTGAAAATATTTTATAAAAATGGCAGATTCACTGGCTGTCCAGATTTAATTTATCAATGAACACACATATGCGAAAATAAGAAGCAAGTTCTGAAAATATTTTATAGGGTGCTCCAACTAATCAGAAGACTATGGCTGTATCACTACATTTTATGGGTGAAATCAGTGTGTGAAATTTGGAATTTAAAAGTCTCTAACTTATGTTAGACTATCTTGGGTTTACCCCAGTGACACTGTATTATATTGTGGTAATTAGCCCAAGTTCTGGGGTCAGACTACCACAATTTGGATTTCTCTTCTATATAATGTGACTTGGGGCAAGTTATTTAATCTCTTTGAACTTCAATGTCTTCATTGTAAAATGGTGATTGAAAAAAAGTGTCTCCTGATAGGGTTGTTATAAATTCTACTGGGATAGTACTTGAAAGACGTATCTCATGGTGTCTGATAGATACTAAGCACTCAGTAGTTTTACCATTTATTCTACATATATACATTCCTATGGCTACTAGCATATGCCAAGGTATAACTGAGCTCCTCTTAGGGTATTGTCCAGATGAAATTGCATATAAAATTCCAGACATTTTTAGTCTATCAACAGAAATTCATAGGCACTATGGAATTAGAAAAATCTGTTTCTCAAACATTTATCTCCATCTCTGATCTCTCCTAGAACTCTAAGCTTCTCCTCCATCTTCTCCATTTTTGTGAACAGTAGCACCATTCTCCCAGTTTCTCAAGTCCCAAATAAAGGAATTATTCTTGATTCCTTTCTTTTCCTTAGTACCTGTATCTAGTCAGCCAAAAATTCTGCCAGAATATCTCTAAAATGTCTCCTGGTTCTATCTACTTCTATGTCCACAATCTTTGTGGTTCAAACCACTATTGTCTGTCATTTGGATTACTGTTAATAGGCTTCTAATTTGATCTTTCTGCTTTTATGCTCCCCTAGTCCATTCTCCACACTACAGCCAGGATGATTTTTTAAACAAAATGAGATCATGTCATTCCTCCATTTAAAACTTGATTACATGGCTTTTTCTCATGTTACTAACAAAATCAAAACTTCTTAGGCTCATGAAGTCTAAAATGGTTTGATCCTTGCTCTGACCACATACTGTTCCTCCTGTCTCCATTCCTTTTCTCAAACTTGCCTTTCTAGTTCTCTGTTCAGGGCTGTTTC